AGTGAGGAGGTGAAATTATTAACAAGATAATCGACCTCTGTTGGAGCAGCGTTCAGATAGCTGCTCTGTGTTGGTACAGGGCATTGAGGATGATAACAGTGGGTGGATTATATTCTTAAACGTAGTTGCAGCGCTTTCAGAAAGATCTGCTGTGATGAAGTTACAGGTTACATGTATTACGAGAGTCGTTATTACTAAAGGAAGCCGAGGAGTAACTAAACATCTGAGCAGGAAAGTGCAGGAGAGAACGGTCGGTCGACTACACACTCTGAATAAAGCACGTAAAGATAACATATTAATATTTAATTCAATTGGCTAAAACACTGCTGTGCTTGTAACAGGAACAGGAAGTGGTACTCTACTGCACAGAGCGCCAACACCAAGTCAGAGCTCCACCCAAAGGAGAGGATTTAATCGTATATACCATGTGCCCACTGTGGATTGGTCTGTGGTTTAGATACTGGCTCTTCTAAGCTGCCGCCCAGAATTTTGCTTTGTGCTGCATAATGACAATAAAGAAGGACAGCAGAGCGTGCAGTGGTTAGCACTGTAGCCTCACAGCAAGGTCCTGTTTCAGTGATGATACCTTTGACTGCTGCTGCCTCTGTGTCACATGGAGCAGGGACTGATGGGACCTCACCGATGGCTGAGATGATATGAGTCGCCTCTGCTGAGGCCTCTAAATGGGACACAAATACAGAAGGCAAGAGCCGCTCAGGAGCTTCCATGTGTGTCACCACGCGCAAAGCCACTCATACACATAGTAAAGACCATCCATCGACTGGTTTCATCATCGCTTCAGCTTCAGCTACAGTGAGGTAGTATTTATGGCAGCATAATGGCTTTAAAGCTATCAAAGATACAATGGCTGCTACAAACTAAGAAGCCTAATAGCAGTGCAAAATGAAATTTCACACGGGAGCAACAACAGGAGAGTATAGGAGAAGACAGCTTACCCTGAGAGGCTTCTGCTGGGGCTAAACAACAGAGCGCACATTTACAAACATCTCAAAGAAGAACGGGTGGAGCTAGCAGCTAACAGAGCACACCGCCCCCCAGAGTGGAGAGTTTGCATCAGCAGATATTAAACGTTGGCTTGTCCCAGAGACATTTACAGGCTGATTTGAATGAACTTGAATTTAAATAATATTAACTTCATAATGTAAATAATGATATCACGGCACTGTCGAGATGGCTGATGATCAGGCTGCCTCTGGTGAACACTTTCATGAAACAACTGCATCCTTTGAACACCATCACAGTGGATTTTAAATCAAACTGTCGAGATGAGACTGAAGTGATGAAAGATGAAAATCCTTCCAAGTCCATCGCTGCCTTTAATGTAGAATCCACGGACGTCACAAACACCACCTTTGGTTTTGCAACTGAAAGCGTGCTCTACAAGAGTCAGGTGACCAACTTGATACTATCACAGATTGCTGGTGCCATTTCAATCAGCAGCTACAGTGTCAGCAAAAATAGTGACCTCGTACAGCACATTCATTTCCATGCATTATGAGGTGTCGCTAGATTTTCTTGCACGCTCAGTCGTCCAGGTAAAGAAATGTGGACGCAGCATCTTCAGCGTGTTAAAGTGGGTAAAATGCTCTCCCACTACGTGTTTCCAGGCTTCTCAGTGTCGCTGAGGTCGCGAGTGCATTTCTTCTTTTAAAGAATTTACCAGATTACTGACTCGGCCTCTCCTACGGTTGTTGCCAGCTCTCTCATACATCTGTTGGGTTTTCAGCGTAACGCTGGCCTCACTCACTGTACCAACATCACTTTGGAGCGCTTACTGCAAATTCCAGAAAAACTAACCAAACACAAGTGCAACTTTATGTTTCATTTGTAATGGAGTCCTTACAAACGTTGCCTCTGAAAGTGGTTTATTAGATATACAAGTGTCTATAATGAATAAGTCAATACTAGTGTTAGAATCCTTGAAATGAAGCTGCGCTGGAATCACATCTTGGCTGAGTTCAAAGCCACTGTGGTGGTGTACAAACACAACAGCCCCTTACTGTCACTGCACAGATGCAATGACACTGTGGGCGCTCCACCCGACTACTGTGAACGAACTATAACAAAACGGAAATAGAAATAAAGCTGATAGAATCAGAGCACATGATAAAAGGCAGATGGCAACATGAAGCCATGAGTTATAATGACAGTGGGCGCCACACTTACCCTGTAGGCTCTGTGCAGGCTGACTGGGGGCGGGGCTGGAGTCTTTGACCGGACCCTCGGCTCCCTCCTTCTTCGCCGACTTCTTCATTTGTTTTTCTATCATAGAGGGCGGCTGGGCCAACTCCACCTTAACAGCAACCATTTAAATCGAAGCATACGTTATTACAGTGTGGTTCTAAAAACGTGGTTATTCTTTCTATACAAATATTTAGATTGTATTGTGTGGAAGTTTATTAGCTGATATCACCGATTCTGAGTCGAATTTTAACAGACACACACTGGAAAGGTGGAGGGATGGGGTGGAGGGATGGGGCTTCAATGCAGTCTGATCATTTGAAAAGCCATTGTAACGTACAGTGAATCCTCCTTAAACCATCAGACACTCACACATGGAGAGCCAGTAAAAGAAAAAATGCTCGACTTCAATTCTTCTGAACTGACGGTGAAACACAAACAAACTTTGTGTCCTGTAACTATGACTAGGATGGGCTGAGCACCGTACCCGTTTCTTTATGGGGAGGCCAGGATCTTGGGCAGCGGGTCCCAAAGCCAAACCCAGCAGCCAGTCTGAGTACGGGACGTTCTTCTCAACCGCTGCTCTGAACTTATGGTCCCATTTGGCGTAGAGTACGGTCCCTCCAATGCCACCACTTACTGTCAACAAGCCAGCAACAACCACTTTGGAAGCACTACTGAAATGAAAAAGGACAAGCAGACATGAATGAATGGAGAGTCTCGCTAACGGCCTTTGCACTCTGTGTATCCTAGTTCAGCCGACTTGCATATAGTGATCTCAGGAGGAAAGCGATGCTGTAGAAGCGGCACGCTCTTCACTACGATAGCACTGAAGATCTTCTCTTGAGGATGAGAGATCCGTGTTTTGAAACGACAGGGAGCAGTCGCATGTAAACATGGAGCCAGAGCGCAGCGGGACACAGATTTTGGTGGCAGGCACAGCACATGTCGCGTCCATGTGAGAGGCCCTTAAGAAGACAGCTGAAGCCCATGTGCTAGTCCTAAACAATTCATTAGTGTACTGTGTGTGTTGGTGTGTGGTGGGCTCATTGAGTCAGCACGGAGAAGATCTTGGAGAACGCACGGCTGCCGTGAACACTCAGAACAAGAGTGAAAAACTGGATCACATCTGAGGGGCTCGCTCGAACAACACCTTTGAGCGCAAATTGGATCACATCTTGGGAAGTGCACTGCGGTCGGAGGTCTCAGAACCTGCTCTTTGAGCAAAAAGAACGACAACATCACGAACATAAGTTTGATAACATCGTAGAAAGCTCGCGGCTCTCCAACGGGAGATTGAGAGACCAGTGTTGGACTGTAGAACTGCTTTGAAATTCATATGAGCTGTTCGCACTAAAGTAAAAAGCACCATCACTTCATGCGGATACCTCGGCGCCAGCTGCGGCCTCAAGGCTGGAGCTCAACAACACCCTGATAACGACTGTGTTGAGTCTGTTCCTTCCCATTCCATGCAAGGCCACCTGGGTTGGCTGGAAGACTGTTTACTTAGCCTGGCAGGGTGAAGGACACTGTCTCATCTGAACTCTGGACACACACACACACACACTGATATGCACACTGATCCCCCCTCCCTTTCCAAAGGCCTTCGATGCTTGTCCCCTCCCGGGGAAGATGGCGGTCGACTGGACCAGCGCAGACATGCTGCAGGACCGGATGCGCTGTCTACACCGGCTCTCTCTCACCCTTTACCCGCCCCTGTTGCTTGTCTTGTGTTTCTATGGTGTGTTGATAGTCATGTGCTTTTGTGCTGAGGTGTTTTTTCTGTTATCAAACTGTTCTCCCAGTAGGAGCTCAGTCTGAGTGGAGTTTTTTCTCCTCCTCTTACCTCATGTTATGTATTTTCGTTGTTTTTTTCCTATCAGCCGACCTTTCTGACATGTCTGCCCAATGTGATGTTTGTGTAAAGTTGGTCAGAAGGTTCCTTTGTAAGTGCGCATGCGCCATTAGCGTGCTGCCTGCTGTAACCCTAATTTCCTTCAGGATTAATAAAGTATTCTGATTACCTGCTCTCTCCTGCTGTGTAGTGCCGACACTGCTGCAGACTGGTAAGAGGGATTCTCCTGTAGTTCTTCTGGAAAGTGGTGAGGAAAGCGTGGCAGTGAAAAGAAATCCACGTCACACAGATCCAGAACGGGCACACATTCACAGCAAGCACAGAGCAACAAATTTCAGTGCAAGCAACAGACTACACAATGTTTTCCTTATCGTCATATAAAAAATTGGGGAATTAGGTGCAGAGATGCTGTTCATAAGGTAAAAACAGACTTTGTGCAATTCTAACAAGCCTGGAAATCAGTACTTTGTCTGAACACCTTTACTCTTCAAAACAGCCTGAGCACTCTGAGCCACGCTTTCTTGTAATTACATTCAATAGCCTTCAGAAACAGAGGTTTCATTCTCTGTCAGGACGGTGCCACACTGCTTGGATGGACACGGGTTAGTTTCAGGACAGCTTCATCAATTGAATTTTTCAGAGGGAAGGTGGCAGTCAAGAAACCACTGATTTAGAGGAGAAACAGACAGGGGTGGGTGTGCCAACATAAACAAGGACTGGACTGAAACAGTCCCAGGAACAGCTAAGATACTGCGCAGAGCAGCCGAGCTGGAGCGCAGTGCTATACTGACAGGTCGATCACAACCAGCTAATCAGCATTTGACGATTTCAATTTTAAATTTCATGATATTCACGTCACACACGAGCTTGCCCATTAACTGTAGCGCAAGTAATATATGGGTTTTAGTAATAAGTAAGTAATAAGTTTAGCACAGTTTGTCACTTGCTGTTAAATCATAAAAAGAATTAATTTGTCGTCATTAAATCTAAACAACAATAAGCAAAACTGTTGATTTACCATTTAAAACAGATCAGCAAATGAAGTACAAAGCATGACTTCTGAGCAGTAAACTGCACTCTTATTTTGTAAATACAGATTCAGGTACATGGCGAACACATCCAAGCTGAGTCCGGCAGAGACGAACATGTTTCCGTGTCCGGTGGAAAGAAGAGCCGAGGTGCAACAGTGTGATGCTGTAGCCCAGGGATGTCAAACTTATTCCGGCCCACTTTAACAGGTGAAAGCCACCTTTCTGTCACTGTACAGAAGTCTGGCTGCACTACATTGCATTACTCTTGTTCTCTTCTGCTTGCTCTCTTTTTTCTTTCTCAGCAGGTGATCCAGGTGATTGATATATGCATTTTTTTTCTCTGCCCGTTCTGTTGGTTTTTGTTTTTTGCCCTTCTCCCCCGTCCCTCTTCTCAGCTGTTTCTCTTTCCCTCTTTCTTTCTCCCCTTCTTTCCCCCAGTCAAGTCTGTCCCGTATTCAGTAAGTGAAAATAAAATAAACAATAAAAGGTGAATCAAATGGACCATTACGGCAAGGCTGGGATGGTCAGTTTGGTAAAGTAAATCCGTTGGGCATCTTTCTTTGCCTTTAGACAACAATTCTGATGCAAAAGAGCCAAACGGGACAGGCCAAAAAAAAAAAAAAAAAGAAGTCTGGCTGCACACTTAATCCCAGAAACAGAACAAAGTTTTCGAGAACGCACATCATGCGTTAGTATTTGTGGATTTTACGAAGACAACCTGCAGCGTTTGTTCTGATTCATTAAAAATACCACGTCTACGTGCAAACGCGTTTAAAGGCTAGTGCCGCTAGTAGCATAAAATACTGCGCCGGTTAGCTGGTATCAAACCTGTGGCCGATAAAAGGTCAAACAGACAAGTTTTGGTTTTTGCCATGATGACCTCTCCGCTCAAACTTAGCCAAACTCGTTAGCTTGGTTATGCTTAAAACGCCATTATCCATCTGTCACCGGAAGAAACCCGGCTAACATTAGCATGCTGCGCTGTTCTGACAGCGTCCACAACCAATTGCATGGCATCAAATACAGCGCTCGACAGCACCGAAGAGTTAACAGCCCGAACTAGTAAATTCACTGTGGCACCTTGAAGCAGGCTCTGGGTCACTGAATGACAACACGCTAACGTTAGCCCGCGGAGCAGGCAGCAGGCTTACCCGGGCGGTAGCATTAGCCCCTCTCAGACACGCTCTCAGCATGGTCTTCTCCTGCTTTGGTTTCTGAGTTCGTAAATAAATTGACCTGCACAGAAACAGATAATTTCTTTGCTGCTCTTCTTCGTCTTCTCGCGCACTCTTCTTCTCCTCAGTACTTTGCGTGGATTAAACGTTTGCGTGCACAACAGCGCCCCCTTATGTTGTTCCCGTCATTCTTCCATCTTTTTTGATGTCCCACACATAGATTTATAAGGGCACACAAATCAGTTTGTCCACCTTCGTCCAAGCCTCGATCGAAGACATAAGTCAGACAGATTATTTCCCCAGCGCTCCTAAACTAAGCTAAACAGATTCTCCCCAGTGCCGGGCAGTTCTGGTTATCTATACTCTCTAGCATACAACACTGGTTATGTGTGAGCTCATACAGTATTCCAGTTTAACACACATTTTCCACTAATTACTACATCAGCTGTGTGAAGTGTGTCAGAGAAACTCTGGTTTCAAAGTCACTATTTAAATCTGTGGCATGCTGTCCAATGATGGACCAAGTTTTCAACAGTTTTTAGCCAAAAATAATAATAATTCACAAAAAAAGAAGAAACATTGATTTTTCTTGTTTGTTTTATTTATTTGTTTGTTTTTTTATTTCAAGTTCTATTAAAGATACAGCAGTAAGAAACAATTACATTTGTATTAAAACAAAAAGCCAGAGCCCAATATTTCTCAAGGATAACTCAAAACATCATCATTGCCTCCGTTTCTATTAAGACGACTCCTCCGAGTTCAGACAGTTTCTATGCATCTGGAATCTTCTCAGGTAGAATATGAGAGACGTAAGCTCGCATTTGCACAAAACTAGATGCACACTCCAACAGGCCTCTCACTGGTACAGCAAGTGGGGGTTTTTTGAATACCAATTCTGAAACATGCGTCGTTAAAAATGTAAAATCTTGTCATAAAATACTCGGAACAGATAAACTACAACAAACGATGGATGGAGAAACATATGGTGAAAACAAAACATTAATTATAATCAGTGACTGCCAGCCAAAGACAGAGTGTGTCCACAGACTCTTAGCTGGCAGCTGCAGCAGTTTTTTCTGAGTGGACTGTGTGAAGTCGATGTGGGGGGAGGACTGAACCATTCAATAACAAGCTATGCAATATTAGGCTCTGCCGTCCTTTGTACTTTGACCGGAGTACCGCAGTCTTCATCCTGAACAACACAACACAAACAATATCATTTAATACAGTGTTTGTAAGGGTGGCTTTTTCATCTGTGGATTAAACTTTGCACAACAAGTAAGGAGACCTGTGTTTGCTCCCATTGGACAGCCTGCTTGTTTCTCCTTAAATGGGCCACATTTGCCAGAATAAACCAGAATAAACAGCAGAGTTGAGCAAAGAGAAAGCTGAGCAAACACGCTTCCTTTCTTTTTGTGCCAAGTTTACAAGCAATCCCACCATCATCATCATCATCTTTATTTTCTTAAAAACTGATGATCGTCTAAACAATGGACCAGATAAATATTTAAACCAAGGTTCCAGAAAGATTCAGTCAAAACCTCGGAATCAAACGCTACGATTGTCAGTCGTCAGCACGTGTGGGCCTCGACATTTCAGCAGCACCTCAGTGACTTCCACTCACCTCCACTGACAGGCTGTGTATCGGCAGCGAGGTCTGGGTGTTCTGGGAGTCAGTAATGGTTGGGAAATCTAGTTCAATGTCCATTACATCATCAAGGTTGAGCTCCTCACTGGTGGGAGAAGGAGAAATATACACATCATACATGAGGACGGCCAGCAGCTGACTGACGACGTGCAGAACGTGTACGAGTGTCTTACACGACATCGAGGGTCTTGTCCTGGCCTTCCTCTGCAGGGGGGTCCCAGGCGTGTAGTTTGACCTTCCACAGTTTGATCTGCTGGTCCCAGGAGCGACGACTGTACTTCCTGAACTTATTGGGAGTTTTTGGATGAACGCCTGGCTGACGCATGTGTCTGAAAAGAAGAAACACGAGGGTTAATGCTGACCAGTGTATTACACACACCAGCAGCGGGCAGGCTTTACACTGGATGCTCCACAGCACGCGTCTCTGTCGACCTACTTAGGAACTTCTTTGATGTAGCGGTCGTAGGCCAGCGTGTTCTTGCCATAGTTGATCTGTTTCTGTCGTCGTAGCAACACAGCTTCATCGGTTTCCATGTTATCTCCCTCTCTGGAGTCACAGCTGCAGCACACAGACACATTTAGTCCCGTGCACACAATACAAGGACAGAAACCCTCATCGTCTCATAGCAGATATGATATTTATCGCATCATATTCTGATGCTGAGCACTTTACTTTTTGTTACCACATAACTGAGCTCCATTAGTGCAATCTGTTTTACCGTACTTGCTGCTTTGTTCGGTGAGACTGCATTGATTTTATTTCATGTTTCCATCATTTTGGGGATGAATACATTTTGTCTTGCCTTATTAATGGTAAAACTACATTGCACACTTGTATAGCTGCAGGTGGACATGTGGTTTGAGAAGCGAGGTTTCCATCAGTTCGTGAATATTCTGAGTTTAAAGGTCTGTGAGAGAATGAGATACCTTCCAGACGAGCCAGACGAGGCCCTTCTCTCCCTCTGGGTGAATTCTGCCCCCAGTATCCTCCTCCTGTAACTGAACACAGTGCAAACAGTGAGTCTGCAATCCAAAACAGGAAAAGAGTATCTGCTTTCATGTGCTTCAAAGACACCTGAAATGATGCAGAAACTGTTTAATTACCGCTGCATGTCTCTGTGCACATCCCTCCTCATCTCATCGTCCTCCACCTGGCTGCCCCAGTCAGCCTGCCGACCACAGCGGGACACTGAGCCTGTGCTCTCTGGTGTAGTGAAGCTAGGAGGACAATACCACAGGTTACACACACACAGGGATGTTACTGCTACAGTTCCAGCAGATGTCGTGGCCACATGTTGGTAATGGAGTCAGTAACCTGATTTTTAGAGTGGTTCATTAGCAGAGACTGGCTTGCTTCACTCAGTTATAGTGTAGTTAGATTTTTTTAAACACTACCATTCAAACTAAAATCATTCTAATAATTCTTTTTCTTTTTCTTCTCGAGCCTACACTGGAGTTTGGATGTGAACTACACAGACCAATGAAATTCTCACACTGCACGGCCTACATTTAACAAAGCACCTTTGAGCAGGGCCATTGAAGCTGTGGGTTTTTGGTCCAGTCTGAAACATTTCCCCAACAAACGCCAAAAACCCACAAAGCTTCAGCCGCCTCGTGGCTTTTCAGTTACAAGTCCGCTGCCTTACATGTTCATCACTTTCCACATTAACTGATCTTACTCTCACCTAGTATGTCTGCGATCAGGGTGTTTGTAGCTGGAGTCGGTGTGTCCGTTCCTTCCTCTATCGATATCATCTGCCTCGCTGTTGCTCCGCAGGCTCCCATTGATCCCCCTCTTCCTGCAGTGGGACCACCGAGATGGGCCAAAGCTACACAAGAAGACACAAAACACGTGCAGATTTAAACATGCTAATTCATTCTTGTTTTGATATTAGATTTCTGCAAACACGTCTCAAAAACATTCTCTTCTGTGTCAAATTAGAAAAAATAAATCACGGCTGTTAAAAATGCAAAAGCAGCAAATACATGCATGGACTGCAAACACACGGTGGGACGCATGGTCCCACGCAGGAAAACACTCATGATCGTTTCACGTCTCCGTATTCAAAAATGGCAAAGCTGCACTAACGGTTTCAAAATCCGGGAATTTCTTGTAAACCTTCTTAGACAGATTAAAGTCTAGAGAAGCTGAACTTTCTTCAATAATAAATGGTTAGTTGAGTACAGTGGGTAAAACTGGAGCCATACACTTCCTTTAATAGACTAGTTCTCCCGCCAACTTCTTCCGATTGTGCGGACCATCATCCATCTGTGACTCTTGTTTTTCCTGGAGGGCACTTAGGACCGCGAATTCTAACATCAGACGTTACAACTACAGCTGTCAAGCACCTGTCACGGTTCATCCACTCACTTGTGTGTTACACTTAGCATTCACAGTCCACAATGTACTCGAGCGTTAGCTTTAGCAGTTGTCTGTATTTAACGCCTTACCGTCACCTTTTTACCCGCACTGTTAGCTAGCGTCACTGTCAGGTCCACTGTTCACGACAGACCTGCTACAGACTGCTAGCTTCTACGAGCTTAAAGAAAATAAGGTAACCATACTAGCAAGAACACAGCGTGTACTAGAGTCACGCGGGTCCATCAGGTACAACAAATGTTTTTTAGCCTTCAAAATGTCCAGATCATCTTTGCAGACAAAGGTTAAGCTAATCTGACGCAGTGGCTTCCATTTAACGAACACAAAGGTTTAGCCGCTAATGACAGACTGAGGCGGGGATGTAAACAGACCTTTTTTCGTGCTCGATGTTGTGATCCTCACGTCGCCGCTCTTTGGTCCAGTCAGACATGTTCTCGGTTAAAAAACAAGACTGCGTGGCAGGAGACTTCTTTGTGCTCAGCTGGGAACTTACAGCACCTACAGTCTGAAGATACGCGCCAACTCTGAAAGACGCGCGACCTCAAACGAGCCAATTGGTCACGTGGCCGGAAGTAGGAACGGAGGAAGACCACAGCTGTCGAATATGTGCTGGGCTGAAAGAGTGTGCTCACGCTGTGTCTATGGCGTTATTTTTGTGCAAATAACGCCATGTGTATCCCCCTCTGGCAATAGTCGTGCGGTTTTCTTGTGGCCTCTGGTATACACAGCTTCTCTGAGCTGGCACCAGGATGTTTAACTGCGGATGTGCTCCATCGACGAGTGGCCAGAGAAGGGGCGGGTCTAAGGTGATGCGCTCCGCCTTCTTCTTCTTCTTCTTCTTCTTCTTTATATGGTTGGCAAACAGCAAAATGACGCATTACAGCCACCAACTGGTGTGGAGTGTGGACCGAAAAGACAAGAGAAAAAAAATCATCCTCCTGAACAAATGGGTCTGCCTTAAGAACCAAAACACAGCCTGATAACTTTCACTTATAGAGTTCGTGCGAAATAAATCAAGCAAGTCCAACTTCACTCTCATATCGTCCAGCTTTTTGATCAGTTGTCTCCTTTCAGCATCATACTTAATGCAATAAAACGTGTTCTGTTGTTTCCTGTTCCCTACTGCAGTCACACTCCCCTGTACAGTGTTTTCCTATTAAAAACAATGTGCTATTTTATTTATTTATTTATTTATCTTTAGAAAGAGGGGCAATACATATTAATGAACATTTTAACAAATGTAAATATGCCAGATTATAGCCTTGGGCTAATTTCCATCTGCAGACCCTCTGGCAGGTTGGTGTTAAACACAAGTTAGTAAAAAGATACAGAGACACTATTTACAGGTCATGTGACAAGGACGAAAACAGTGATCGCATTATACTAGAACAAACAATGACGAGGAGAGTGGACACAGAGGACAGTATAGATAACAATAACGGAAACACATCAATTATATTGCACAAACCCCAGTATTGCACATGCCCTGACTGTCCTGATACTGCACTGACCCATTACACTAATAGTTGTTTCCCTTTTTGTAATACACTAACTCTTTTTCCCGTCCAATATAAAACATGATTATTAAACATGATCACATGTTTGTGTGTCCCTGAGCCGCCCTTTTAGGTGACTCATAAAGATGGGTAGATTTGTACTTCCCTCACTGACAGTGGAAGACTATTCCAGAAGCTCACTCCCTAATATGACAGAGCATCTGTGAAAAGGTGGTCCGTCTGAGTGCCAGTTCACAATCACCTCTAACAGCGGCTCGAGTCTGTCGACACCCGGCAACACTGCTAGACTTTTGTTTAATAAAATCACTGATTGGTGGAGGCGCCAGACCATGTATAACTTTGTATATTAGACAGGCAGATTTAAATGATTTGAAATTAGTAAAATTTAAAAACTTGGATTTATCTAAAATTCGACAATGGTGATATGAAAAAGTGGTTTTATCTAATATTTTCGATGCTCTCTTGTAGCATACTTCAATTGGCCCAATAGCAGCAGAGCTACTTGGACCAACTTGTAACACAATATTCAATATGAGCTGGTATCATAGAGAGCAGGAATGTAATCGCTGCTGTGTCTGTTAATGATGTGCAGATATGTCTAAAGTTCTGTATATTAACATTTACAGTTTTCACTACTTTTTTAACGTGTTTTTTAAAGGATAATTTAGAGTCTAGTAGCACTCCCAAACACTTAAATTCCTCAACATTAATTAATTGTTGTGCACCCAGGCAGACTTTTACTGCAGCCACGGTTGTTTTAGGTTTACTAAAAAACATTGATACGGTCTTTTTAACATTAAGGCACAGGCATGAGTCATTCAGCCATTTTTGTAAATCATGTAATGCCAGTGAAAGCTGATGGGCTGCATCAGCAGCAGCTTTGGCTTGTGTAAAAATTACCGTATCATCAGCATGCATATTCAAACCAGTGTGTCCGAATCTAAGTCGAGATATAACCATGTAGGAATGTGGCATTTATAAGAAGCACGTGGCAGCAGTTTAGTCCACAGAGATATCATGTTCATATGGTGGAAGAGTTCGTAATGCTGTAGAGAGACTGCATCACAATCGTTTCCCCCCATAGCCCATAAAAATAATTACATCTTACTGTCTTATATTTAAGTGCTGTGATCCGGTGGAACTCCATCCTGCTGATATCATTCCGGTAAAAGCTTTCCTAGTTGTGACATTAGACAAATTTAATTAGATGTGCATTCACCAGAATCTCAGGAAGCTGTGACTTTACATTTTGTGACAAAAGGAAAAGGACTTAGAACAATAAGTTCCTGCAGTCCCTGATTCTGATTATTAGATTTGGAGCAGAAGGTGTCAGGTGTTATATTACCAGTGTCATTTAATAGGTGCATCATATACCAGATTCTGTTCTCCTGCCAGTTTATTTAGCAATAAATCTTTATTCCTAAACACCACATATCTACTGTTCCACAGTGGTATGAGGGCTGAAGTTGCTTGTAGATAATTTCAGTATAATAATTATGAATGAAATTAGTCTTTGTGTTTTTCTGTCACAATCACATCTTAGAAGAAAACTCGTGACCCACGGCTTCTTAAATATTCAGTTAATGATATTAAACATCAAACTGTCTGTTTTTAAAAGAAATCTTTGCCATTTTATTTAAATGGTAACATTAATGCACTCGACAATAATGACTTTCATTCCTCTCTTTACACTCTTTATTTATTATTGCTTTTCTAATGTAGTGCGTTTTTCTAAATTAAGTGAAGTTAGCCTTGTTTATAGCTTTTACTGCAGTCTTGGAAAGTGGCCAGGACCAAACTGGAGTCTTCAGATGCATCCCATCTTTAGAAAGTTAATTATGTCTATAACGTTTTCCCTAAATCCAAGCAACTCTGAGGAAAGACTGGAAATTCAAATTCAAATTCAAATTCAAATTCAAATTCAAATTCAAATTCAAATTTTATTTGTCACACACACACAACCATACACAGTATGACATGGGGGTGAAATGCTTGTAGCTGTACAATGCCCGACCATTAAATGACAGAAGAAAAGTTTTACAATATTTACAATTTACTACAAAATTTACAAATGAACTTAGGAATTTACAGTAAAGAATGTGCAAATAGCAGAAGAGATTATAAAGATAAGGATTATAAATTATAGGAATTATAGGATTATAGGAAATGTGTGGTGGTGCGTGTGGTGACGTGTGTGAGAGTCCAGTCTTATAGTGACGTGTTTGGGAGAGTCCAGTCCTACACCTGGTTCAGGGCCCGAATAGCCTGGGGGAAGAAGCTCCTCCTCATTCTCTCTGTTTTGGCCTTAAGGGAGCGGAAGCGCTTCCCAGACCTCAACAATGAGAAGAGTCCATTGTTGGGATGGGAGAGGTCCATCATAATCTTCCTAGCTTTTGGAAATTAAATAAAAACTCATTTAACCCAACATTGTTTTTATTTATGTGCACAGGAGCTGTTCAATAACAGAAATACTGATGTAAATAGTATCTAAAAAAGACAAATCCAAAGCACACACATGTATTACTATAAACTGTTACAGTGAATGTCTGCACACCACAGTAGCTTGGAGCATTTAAAGCCACAGAGCCAGTGTTGTTGCCTACAGCTTGTCACAGAGTTTTGTCATAGCGCTGCTGACTCAGCCTCCTGGAGACGTTGCTTTCGTAAGCTCCCCTCCTTTTCCTGGGAGGTGCTGGTGTTTACATGGATGTGCTCGTGGTGCTGGCTGGGCTCTGTACCAGTACTGGGTTCCTCTGGTTTCATACCTCAGTACCATTTGGGAATAAGGGAATGCAATGTTGTATTGGCCACAAGGAGACGGCCCATTTCACTAAAAAAGTGGAAAAGAACTGTTGCCTTTCCATTTGATTGACTATTGTCCTTCACTTTGCAGACATCAACACGTGTATTCCACCTGCACACTTTGTCTGGGCAGAAAGGCTTAAAACTGGCCTGACAACTTCTCTGAAGTTTCCTGCCACAAAGGTTTTTTGTTTGATTTGGAGGTTGTGAGGTGTGAGTTGATTGTATTGTGTCTTGCTGAGGCCATCATCTTCATGATAGCGGTGCTACTGCATCAGGTCTATGAATGAGTATTACAGTCTTCAGGACTTTTGTGCCATGCTGGGGCAGCAGGTGGAGGGTCGCAGTAATGTTGTGGGGACAGAGCTGGACTCCCTTAGGGTGGTGTCTGAGAGGTGGATAAGGACAATGGTGGATAATACCTCCCACCCACTCCATGATGTGCTACAGGAGCACGTTCAGTGAGAGGCTGAGATTACCCATAATGCACCACTGAACAACACAGATTGTAGCCACCTGAATTCAGTTTTCTTACCACTCACGACTCAACTGCATAATCCTAGGTATGGTGGCTGAAGAAGGACAATCAACTCTGGCCACCATTCATCTGCAGTACGTGTAGGTTGTCAGTCCACCATTTACCTCAACAGTCAATAAACGTTTATATGATGGCAGGACTGTTTATCAAAGGGAAAGTGTGACGCTTAGGAGCCAGCTAGCTGACATAATGTTACCTTTTAACCACCTGTTGTTGTTATTTAGCCGTCTCGTTCATCTGTCCAGAGAATAAAAAGCATGTTCATGCATGTTTTTCCTGTGTTAGAGCCTTGATTTCAATTACAGACAGGAGGCTTGAGGCGAGGAAGTAGAAGAATGAGGGGGAGCAGAGATGGAGGAAAAAACAGAAATCTATAAATATGTTGTATACAGCGCTTTGAGTAGAAAAGTGCTATATAAGAATCAGTCCATTTACCAAATGTTAAATTGTCATGTATAGCATTAATGAGCTATTTGCGATATTTAAATTGTAAATAAAGGCCTACTGCAGATGTGGCCGGCAACGTCAATTTTGGCCACTGTATTTAAAATGACGGGGAAACATTTTGAGTACAATTTAAAATCTTATATATTTTAATCTTATGCATTATGTAAATTAACTAACTTTCCTGAAAATAACCAGTGATTTTTTCTTTCCTTTTATTAACGATTGTTTACATCATGATTGTGTTTTCAGGATAAATGAGGCAACATGCTGTGTTTGTACCGTAGTTACGGTGTTACAGCCCATTACTTTAATTATGTCCGTAAGATGCGGAAGGATCCTCTCGTAGAGGAGCAAAAGTGACGCAGGCGCAAGAGTCACCGCCGCTTCTTGTTTACCATAACAACTGGCGACGCTTTCTCCTGATTGGCTGCAGCTACATCCTGTCTTCCCAGGCTTCTGCCATTCAGATGCTATTTTAAAAGCTTCCTTCGTGGATTAACGGGAGCGTCT